GGTTGCTGTTTCACTGACATTATTTAATGACACATACCTAATTTCGAGATTAGAATTTTGATCCAGACGTGCGAGTCATATCAACAAGAATCATTGACTTACCAAAGCCTACTTTGACTGTTTTATAAATACAAATTTACAAAATACGACTTCGATCAGCATTTGGATACACAACTGGACCCTAGTTCCAATGAAAGTCTAAAGCACCAATTGCTATTATTCCACCATCTCTTTAAAGTTGGCTATGTCGTTAATTGTCTTGGACTCTCGTAACGATACAGCACTTAGTTTTAGAAGAAGGAAAAAACAAAGACTTCTGCTGCAGTTCATGGATGGAATTGTCCTGTCCGTGATTCAAGGATTGAAGTCAAATGCGTTTATGGAATTTTACAGCATAAAAAGAATTAAGTTAGTAACAGAACTTTATGCTTCAGTTGTTTCGGGTCAGTATTGCCTGACAAAACGTTTATGATCTTTATTTCATACATTTACAACTATCTTGTTTTGGGTCAGCATTGCCTGCCAAAACGTTTTATGATCTTTATTTCATACAATTACAACTGTCTTGTTTTGGGTCAGCATTGCCTGCCAAAACGTTTTATGATCTTTATTTCATATAATCACAACTGTCTTGTTTTGGGTCAGCATTGCCTGACAAAACGTTTACTAGTATATGATCTTTAGTAAAAAAAATATGCTATGCTTCTGTTTTGGGTCAGTATTGCCTGCCAAAACGTTTATGCTCTTTATTTCATACAACTACAACTACTTTGTTTTGGGTCAGCATTGCCTGCCAAAACGGTTAATATGATTTTTAGTAATAAAATGCTATCCTTCTGTTTTGGGTCAGCATTGCCTGCCAAAACGTTTTATGATCTTTATTTTATATACTTACAAATGTCTTGTTTTGGGTCAGCATTGCCTGCCAAAACGTTTACTAGTATATGATCTTTAGAAATAAAATGCTATGCTTGTTTTGGGGTCAGTATTGCCTGCCAAAACGTTTATTATCTTTATTTCATATAATCACAACCGTATCTTGTTTTGGGTCAGTATTGCCAGCCAAAACATTTATGATCTTTATTTCATACGATTGGGGTCTATATTGCCTGCCCTCCTGCCGATGCTGTCTTTACACATTATTCAGACTGTCAATGTGGACATTTGATAGGCTACCATTAAATTGTTTTTTAAATTTTATTGGCCGGTTTAACTTCCTGTATGTATACATGAATCGTTCGTAAATCATGTTATGGTTTTTAATGTTGCCTATTTAATTCAAATTCGTAATTATTCAATTTATATACATATATATAAAAGGACTTTATGGTTTATCCCAATGATGTACTAAATGCTATGGTCTTTAGAGGTAAACCCATCACAAACTAAAGTTTTTATATTTAACTAAACTGGTTATTAATTAAATGGGTTTTTCTCTTTCGAGAAAATTTTTTAGAGTATGTTTCAAAAGTTATAAATATTTACTCGGTTAAAATTTACATCATTTAACTTTCATCATGTTCATCGCAAGGTAATTGAAAATTATACGAAAAATCACTAAAAGCTGGAATATTATTTCAAAGATATTTTTCATTTTACAACTTTATTACGACCATATACAATATAAACCTTTTAAAATGTATTGCATTGGAATATCAGTATGTTCAGAATAAGTTTTGTATCATGCCAGGAAGAAAATGAATATGAATTTATTTTATGTATAGCAATATATTTATTTTTTATATTTATTTATTTTTATCATTATTATTTTTTTTTTTTTTCAATAGAAAAATCAAATTCCCGATGTATATTAAGTATATTTTAAGTGTAAATTAAAAGTCCCCAAGCTTATCGGTGTTGGATAAGTAAGTTTGGTGGATTCCCGTTATTTTTATAGTGGTATTATCGATATAAATTATTACTATTAATATTGAATGGTGGTATTCACCAGTCATTAAATTTCTAAAAAGCTGCATATTCAAGATTATGACTAAAGCTTAACTTTTTACCGAATCATGAGTTACGCAAAATATTTCTAAAGTCTCATATCAATAATAACAAAAATAACTGAGAGTTAAAAAGGTCTACATAAGATACTTATTTACTAATTTCAATTTAAAAACTTTTTCCTTAAGAAATTTAATAAATCTATGATCTTTATACAATTTTAATTGAAAAATGTCAAGTCTAGTATGAGAATCAGTTGCTCATGATCCCATATAGAAATAGTCAGATATAAAACTACGTATTTAGAAAGGATCCAGGGCTTCGTAAAAATGTACTTCTATTTTGTTTGAAGATTTAAGATTAAAGATAAAGTTTCGGTTAATTAATGTACTAATTGTCCGTACTAAAATATTTATTATTTTACTATTATTAAATGTCTAGATGTAAGACGAAATATGAATTCTGAAACATATACTTAACGACGATTATATTGTAATTTTATTGCTGTGGTCCTGACCGGAATAAGATTTACACCTTTAATCATTTTTATCAGTAAGAGATAATTTAAAAGTAATATCTTGGTATATGATCATATGAACTTTTAATATTTCTGCTCAATGTGGAAACGTTTTACAAAAATAAAATGTTTTTTTTTTTGGTGTACATTTACGTAAATGTCATGCTTGTAAATTTTTCAAGTTATATATAAATTGTATTCACGTCGCCAGAGTCCTCGGGTTGGGGATCCACTCTTTCAGCCAAATAGTGGATTTGGGATCCACTCTTTCAGCTTAAGAGCGGATTTATGGCATATTTTTCTCCCCACCTTTGCTATTTTTTGTCATTTATTCAATTGATATGATATTAGTTGATGTAATTTCGTATTAATTATGTATTATTATTTCATATTAAATATGAACTTTTATGTCAAATGTTTTATTTGCAAAATGCATTTTTTGCATTTTATGATTTTGAATAAATGACCTTTTTTCGTTAGTTAAGTTTTTATATCATATAGCAAATCAAGCTCAGACTCTGGCCTGTGTATACATAGTATGTTTATGGTATCTAGCTGTCTGTCTTAAAACCAATTTTATTTGCTAATTGAAAATTAAGCTGAATAAAATAATTTAAGACAGCAGAGAAGACAGTTCTGTTTTAATTGTTTATTACTAAGACTTAAATAAAGAGTCAGCTATTTATACTGTAAATTTATGATGTCTCTAGTCTGTCAAGGGGTCAGAGTGTCCTACTTAATCAAACGATAAATTGGTGAAATTAGATAACATGTTTTCACGTGCAGAGAAATTTCACTTATGACCAGTGCATATTTGGATTACATCTTTCTTATTGGTCAATGATCTTGCGGGGTCAGCACGAGTTCACGTGTAAGTGCGTTGTGGTCACTACCTTTTATCATCAGCATTTGATGTGTTAACTTGTGATTCTTATCAAACAATTTGTTAAAAATTCCCAACCACATACCTCCCTTAATGTTATCTTTTGAAGTAAATATGTATATATGTTTATTTGTGGGGCAGATTTTTCTCCCCACCTTTGCTATTCTTTGTCATTTATTCAATTGATATGATATTAGTTGATGTAATTTCGTATTAATTATGTATTATTATTTCATATTAAATATGAACTTTTATGTCAAATGTTTTATTTGCAAAATGTATTTTTTGCATTTTATGATTTTGAATAAATGACCTTTTTTCGTCAGTTTAGTTTTTATATCATATAGCAAATCAAGCTCAGACTCTGGCCTGTGTATACATAGTATGTTTATGGTATCTAGCTGTCTGTCTTAAAATCTAGAACAGGTCATGTCTGTCATATTTGTTTTTCTAAATTGTTTTGTTATAAATAAGATCGTTGAAAAATAAGAGAAGTCCCGTTATCCATGACGTAGTTACGCATCTTATTCAAAACACAAATTGAACGAATTTTTAAATAATATTTTGGGAAAATACATTTACTTTCGTGTGAAATAACTGTAATGAAAACTTACTGAACTTCGTTGACACGACACCAATTTACGAAGGCGTGACAAACCATCCCTAAGGTCCAATTAGCTTTTTTGTTGTAGAAATTTGATGTGGTGATATGTGAACAGTGTGAAAAAAAATTGTCATAGTGTTATGGCATTACCATCAAACAACAAAATGATTTTAACCCTAGTGTTGGGACTGTTCCCGTCCGATTCCCAATTGCATTAAACTGGACATAGCACTTTGTTCTATATGAGAACATATCAATTGTAAAAAAAAAACCATGTATGTAAGTCTAAGGAGCCATTGAACTACCCCGAAAATTCCTACTATAATAAAGTGCTTTAATCCTCTTAAAATTAAATAAGTTTTAGTGATAAATGAAAAAGATAATAAATTCTGGACATTTCAGAACATAAATGTCGGTTGCGATGTCACTATGACCTTAAAAGCATGATGAAATTGACATATTCGACCAAAGATGCTCATCTTACATATGTTTTTTCTGTAAAGAAGTGTGCTTTCCCAAAAATAAAATTTTACCCGCATTAATATCAGTGTATAATATTTGGATAATATTTTGGAAAATACCTTTCTCGATGATTTCTTAGTTAATATTTGAATATTGAATACCAGATCTCTACATGAGGCTTTTTAGCACTTTTCAATAAAATACAGGTAAGGTAGTATGTAATACAGGATTATAATTTGGTTACTAATTCCGAATAATCTGGGTTCCACCCTCGGATTTTTGTGCGGTTCTTATTGTTATGTCTTTTGTTCTTTTTTATGTAGTGTTTTGATTGACTGTCGTCTTTTCGTCCTTTTCGAGGTTTTTGCTCTGACAATGTCGGTCTCTCTTCATGAGTTGATTTCCTTTGCCTGCTTTTTTCCTATATTATCTGATAGACTAGAATTTCTCAACATATGAAGGATGTAATTTGATACTTCATTTTTATTTTATAATTCAAGGGTCAAAAATAGTGGCCTTTATGAAAATTTCCTTAAAAAAATATTCGAATAAAGCGCTTACATACTCCTTTTTGTAAGAAAACTTACCTGAACCTATGGCCGGAATTGCAATATTTCTTAGCCTGTTGTCATCAGCTGCAATTAACGCATTGTTTATCACATTCATAAGTCCTTCAATGTACGATTCTGTATTTTCTCTATCGGCCCAGACGGGAGCACAAGCATGTAGTACATTAGTGTAATGATTCAAATTTCCCGCAGAGGTAACACAAATTTGTCCTTGCTGGAGTTTGGTATAATGAGCCAAATATTGTTTACATTCGTATATTATTTTCTCTCCGGCTTCCTGTGCTATAACCGAGAAAAGTCCTGATCTATGATTCATGCTTTCATTTGAAGAATTAACGATACCCTTGACTTTAAGATAGCATAAGTTGCCCTGGTATACATAGACATTGATTCCTTCTTTGGTAGTCATCATAAGTGAATCACCATTCACCTCCGGAAACAATTTAAGATCTGTCATATTGGCAGTTGATTGTGAAGCTGGTTTGTCTGTTTGGTTTTCTTCGTCTATTATATTCAAACCTTCCTGTGTATATATTTCATGTCTTGCTGACGGCAAGGCTTTTTTCCTGCGATCCACTATAATAGTTTGTTCTTGCCTTTCAATAATTCCCTTTTGGCTGGGTAATTGATGCTCAGGAGTGGTATATTTATCTGTGTAGTATTCTTTTGGTCTTACAGACGGCGGAGTTTTATTCAGCTGCATCGTTCCATTTGCAATGGTCTCCTCTTTTTGATTTAATATACCACCAGTTGTGACATTAATCTGAATGGCTGAATGTTGAGCATTGCTTGGCAAGACATCAGGTACGTGTATTTTTTCAAGATTGTCTTTCATGGACGAAATTGGTGAGTAATCTGTTCTTGACTGAATATTCAAACTTTTATCATTCGAGTTGTATACACTTTTGTGATTTTGTAATATTTCTATTTCCTTGTTACTGCGCGAGTTTATTTTTGTTTTACGATCTAAACTGTCCTTTGTGGTTTGATTTTCTGAGTTACCATCTCTCTTATGAAATTGCAAATCATGGACATTTTTGGGGTCATGCACTCTGTCTTGATCTCCAGGATAGCTAGATCCGCTATTCGTTTGGTTGTCTGTTCCAGGCATGTCTCCTTTTCCTTGATCTTCCTTATTTGGTTTATCTGTCGTCTGTTTTACACCTGAAACCTCACTTTTCCATTTTAAAAGTAGTTCGCGAGCAAAACTAATGGAACATAAATCTCCAGTAAGTATGATTGTTCCATCATCTTCATGTAGTACACCTACTCCAGACTGTTTTTTCAAATCTATAACAGTTTGTCTATTTGTTGACAGATATAAACTAATAGACGTATTCAACCTTGCCCTTATGTTAACCACTGCCTACAAAATATATGTCATATCTGACTAGTTTATTTATCTGAGCTTCTATAATATAATTCGAAATCATAAGTAAAACATTTTTAACAGGTTTTTTTCAATAAATCAAATCATAATAATATATATATATATATACAGTTGTTGTCCATTCGTTTGATGTGTTTTGTCATTTGATTTTGCCATGTGATTAGGGACTTTCCGATTGAATTTTCCTCGGAGTTCAGTATTTTTGTGATTTTACTTTTTATATATCAGAAAAAAACATAATAAACAATAGTTTTAAAATGCTATCTAATACACATATGTGTATTCATTTTTCACATTGGCTATCGGAAATGACTTGAAGTAACTGAACAGATACAATAATAGCTGCTCATTTACGGATATTCAAACGAACTTAAAATAACTAAATATGATATCAACTCAATATCAAAACCTCAAATACTTTAAAAATATGAATTTCGGTAATATGACACCACCAAATTATTCGAATTTTATAATTTGTTTAACATTTAACAACGCCTCTGCTGCCCATGTTTGTAGAAAAGAAAAGCACTAAGATATCCCAAAATGTATGGTGCCTCACAAGATTTTGTGAGGTTGACAAAGCCATATATATGGCCAAATTGTCTTTCTTTATGACAAAAACAAATAGGCATATCGGTCTTATTTGACTTCCATTTACTCGCTGATTTCTTTTTAATCAAATTGAAATAACAGTTTAATAAGATTTAAACAAGAAATGAACAGTTGGATTGACAACCAATCGTGTTTTCAGTATTTTGAAGGTTACCATTATTGAAGATAAGAGGGCAGCTCGAACGAATGAAATTGATGTATTCTTAGGTATTGAGTTTTAAGGTTTGTTTCACTTGCTACATTATGTGAGTGCCTGTCAGGACATAAAGTGTCATTTTCCAATAGTTCAAGGAGCATAATTCATGAACAAAAAGACGAAAAAGTCAAAAAAAAGTCAAAACGAACTTGACTTCTATTTTGTCATCAGTAACAACAGATTAATATTTGAAAAGCATTGATTCAACGGTACATAAAGTATTGCACGGAAACGACCTTAAGTGCCATTTTCCAAACCAAGGACCATAACTCCTAAACGATAAAAGTGAAAATCTACACCATCGAAATTGACCACCATTGTGTCATTAGTAACTACATATTCAAATTTGAAAAGCATTGGTTGAACGATTTAATTGGTTTATAACTGAATACATGGACCAACAAACAAAAAATTAGGTGCTCAAGGCATTGTATTTTAACATTCTGATAAAGTTTCATGTAATAATGATCAGGGGTTTAGGAGAAGCAGATATAAATGTGGATACAGTGTACAGATATAATCAAGTCCATGTCATCCAAAAGGAAACACGAAAAATCATTAAGATGAAGAAATGAAGGAAAGTTGGACAGAAGGTCAAACGAATGGACGAACGTATGGACTATGCCATCACTTTATACCACCCGTTTAGAAAGAGGCATAGCCAGAAATTAGTAGTACTTTTGCTAATTAATATTCATAATATGTAAATGAGAATTGTACCACGTGATAATAGTTTGAACTGGACTGGCTTGATATCATTAAAATCTTTAAAACACGAATATTATAAGTTGCCCGTCACAGAGTCCTTGTTTATAATCACTCTGATATTTCCGTTAAGTTGTCAGGCGGTCAAAATCAAAACAATGAACGCGAATTTAGTGAATGTTTCGTGTTTTCGTGAGTTTATTCTTCTTGAAATAGGGGCATTTTAACTTTTCATGGGAACCTAGAGTTCAACGACTACACATACAAGGTTTGAACTTGCTTATTCTTTGGACATTCAAGTTTCAAGTTTCATCCCCGCAACCTGTTTTTGTAATGACCTTGTTAGCCAATTTTCAACACGAAGTTTGCAAATTTGACGTTTCAGCCATTTTAGCCTGTATTTTATACTTCAATGTTAAAAGCCTCTCGCATCGATTTTTAAAATAGCTCAAGAACCTTGATTTTTGCAACGACAGTCATTATATTTCGTTTAAATGGTGTATATTGTTGTGTATATTTATTGTCTGTCCCCGCAACCTGTCTATCACTTAAATTAAAGTTAAAACAGACTTTTTTTTTCAAAATTCCCTATCATTTCAATATAATTTCCGTGACCCGTATCCGATTTCTTTAGTATAATATTCAAATAAGCAAAGTGGCGATGATTTCTGGATATGGGGGTAAAAACGTATGTCTCTTCTCCGAACAACTCCAAAGAATAACTTTTATTTTTACGTTCAGTAAGATTTATTTTTCTTTCGTTTTGTTGACTTCATAAAATGCAAGTCTATATTTTTATCATGCTCACATCTGTGCTGCATCTAATGAACTCATATCTGTTTTCTTTCTTCATTTTCCTAGTCAGAATATCTGCATCTAGAAATATAATGAAAATGAAACAGGTAAATTATTGTATAAGACATAAACTTGACATATTTAGAAAACTTATTGTCAGAATCTTATATAATTGAGTCTAGATCCTTATGACGCCTCAAAATTTAGGTACTCAAATATAATCTGTAAATAAAAAAATCTCTGTGCAGTGATATTGGTAATGTAGCAATTTTTACCATTTGACTGAGCTTTACCATTTGTGCTGATTTGCAGAGCAGAGGACCATATATTAAAGGTGTAAAAAGTATAGAGTTATTAAATATATGCAGAGAACTCTTTTGTGTAAAAATAGGGATTTTTTGTATCTCAAGAACCCACATCACAAAAGAATTTTTCGGGGTATGCTCAAATACGGCAAAAACAAATCTCATTTCGTAATTTAAACACATATGTGAAAATGTCTCAGCTTTAAAACGAGCGTTCATACATATCCAAGTTTACAATATTGGCAAAGGATTTGAAGTAAAGGCTACCTGAAATGAATTGCTCATATTGACTCAACCATATATATAAGAGTTAAATATAACATCAAGGGTAATTTATGATAATGTAAAGGTAAAACATATTTGTAATAATTTAGTATCGTTTTTAATAGTAAATAGTAGAATCCTTTGTAAAGTATGTTTACAATCCTAAAACAGAACCACTACCTCGGGTAATATTCAGAATTGAATGCACTTTCTTTGGGGTTTTTTTTTTTAACAAATAAACTTTACATGGTAAAGATAACACAAATGATCATATATATTGAGGGAAAATTAAACATTTCTGGACCCTTTTTCTTGAACAATATAAAATAGTTCGTGTAACATTCGACTGCACATTTCATGAACAGTTTGGTTTTTCATCTACTATTTAGGTTCTGAAACTTGCGATAAGTAGGGGATCAAAAGCCAAGTTTTGATCCAATGTGATCCCACTGCACCAATTGCAAAGCATAATTCCTAAACTGCATCATTTTTTTATAATATGCAGTAGACGGGTTCATCATGGCTGAAATCTGCCTATATATGTTCAAATTTCTATTTATTCGTTTCAAATGTCTACTTGTGAAAGATAGGATGTTTAAATGATCAATTCGGAAAGTTGTCGGAAATGTTCTGCATGCAAATTATGAGAAGTATGTTGATTTGAAAATTCCTATAAGTAGTCCAAGGAAAGTCATCAGAATGATTAGTAGATCTTTTGTTGCTGATTATTTTTACTATTATAGGTTTCTGTCTATCTTTTATAGATTTGAACAAACAAATAAAACACAAAAAAATATTTAACATTTTAAAGCAATATCTGTAGAGTGGTTGAAAATAACAGTCCTATTAATT